GGAACCTAAAAGGCCGAGCAACTCGGGGCTGGGGCAATGAACAAAGCCATGTGGGCTGCATCCGTTCACTTCTTTGCAGATCCTCTTTGTGTAGTGAAGGAGGCAGAACACGAGGTATTAGCGTTCTGTGATCTCATATGCTAGGGAGTCTAGGAGCAGCTGGGAATCGTGTGCTTTAAACTTTTCGGTTGGAAATTTCATTCGTTCCCCCAGATTCCACAGTCGGACTTTTGGGGAACAATTAGCAGATTGTCAGTTGGAATGCCAGGACCACACCCGAGTCAATTCCTGACTGTGACACTATTTTGCCATGGGACTGACAGCCCAGGCCATGGATGAAACTAAATCACCACACAGATCATTCCTAGACACATCCTACATCATTTATGAACCATTTTTATTTCTTTTTTACCGTGGCATAATGCCTGAAATTAGTTTCACATGTAGCATCATTTCAAGTTATTCTGCAACTACTATGGTAATTGAAGCTTAAATGTAACTTGTATAGTGGGTCTTAGTTATGTCATTTCTGAAACAATTTGGATAAATTTAAGTTTCCATACTCAGTAATAATAGTGAATAAAACTGAAAGAGATGAACAAGTTGTAGAACTTACCAGTTTCTGTTGATACTGTGACTGTAGGTGAGATCGGTGGAGTTGTTGGTACTGAGGTTTTGGTGGTGGTTTGTGGTGTAGTGGTTTCAGTTGATATAGTTATTGAGGAAGATGAAAATGTTGTCTTTTTTGTTGTACTGGTTGTTGAAGTAGTGGATATAACTGTTGTGGGTGTTGTTACTGAAACGAGTGGTGATTTCATGGTCGATATTGTAGCTGTTTCGGTTGGTGTAATTGTTAATATTGTGTGGGTGGTAGACTCTGTAGATTTAGTGATTGTTGCAGTACTGGATGCAGAGGTTGGTGGGGATGTTGTTGGCAGAGAGGTGAGAGTTGCATTTAAAATAGTGGTTGTTGGCAGTATAGTAGTAGTTGGTGTAATGACTGAAGTAGTGCTTGATGCTGTCGTTTGCACCATTTTTGGTTTAAAAAAAAAGAACAATAATTTTTAGAAAAATTCATGGACACTGAATCTTTTAAATAATTCTTAATAATTCAGTTACATTTATCTTTGATGTAAATTAAAACAAATGATCTTAGGATGCAATGTAATATTAGAAAACATCTTTTATTTTAAATGTCAAATTTGAGAAAACTTAGCTATTCTCTTCTCTGTCTTCTCTATATTTTACTGAATATCCCAACAGTTAGCCAAGAGTAGGAAGATGACACACACAGACACACACACTTCCCTTTCTTAGTATATTTTAAGTGAATTCAGTGCTCATAAAGAGTGCAAACAGAGATGTACCAATAGTGATATAGAAATTTGCCTATTGGGGCTTTGGCTAATGTGTCTTGATTCTCACCCCAGAGAAAGCAGTGCAAAGAGAGTAATCATTGTGACTGAGACACTCTGTACTACACTCCTAGTGAGAAAGATTTTCCTTATATCTAACCTGAACTTCCCCTGTTGCAACTTAAGATCATTGCTCCTTGTTTTGTCATCTGCCACCACTGAGAACAGTCCAGCTCCATTTTTTCTGGAACCACCTTTCAGGTACTTGAAGGCTTTTATTAAATCCCCCCTCAGTCTTCTCTTCTTCAGACTAAATTGGACTTGTCTTTATTGAACCTCATGAGATTTATTTTGGTCCTATCCTCCAATATTTCTAGGTCTCTCTGAATCCTAGCCCCTGCTTGGTGTCATCTTCAAACTTGCTGAAGGTGCACTCCATCCCATCTTCTAGGTCACTAATGAAGATATTGAACAAAACCAGCTGCAGGACTGACACCCTGGGGCACTCTCCAGTGAACACAATACTGAAATTGCTAATTAATTTAATCTACCCTAGGTCAAAGAGAAGCAACTGGATACTGTTTGCCTTTAGTCACTGTCAGCTTGTCCTCAGTGTAAAAATGTAAAAATATCCCACTGCTAGGGGCAATTCAGTAGTTATGGTTTACCAATAACCTTTTCTTAATTTAAGACCCTTAACCTAAAATTTAAGATAAAGAATACGTGACATCTGTAATGCTAGTTATGCTTCATTACTTTGCTCGAAACATTTCAAAGAGCATGATAGCATGTTGTGAAAAAAAGGTTTGCTATTGAAAATGTGAAGAGAGCAACATCTTCTTTGGAAGCTAACCTCTAAGTATTATTTTAGTAACTGATTGTAGAACTAACCTGTGGAAGGTGTAGAGGTTTCAGGCGTAGTACTAACAGGATGAGGTCCAGCTGTGTACAAATAGAAACAACTTAAATAAGTGGATGATTATAAAATAAGAAACTTTTCCAAAGAAGATCATTTTCAGCAAGAGTGAAAAGTGAATTGTTCCAGCTTGTAAGACATCCCAGAAAATGTATTAAACAATACTGGGAAAAACAGATGCCTAGTATTTAGTTCACTAAGCATATTTTTACTACTTCTGTCACTGTATTCATGTTTAAGAGTAGCTTTATTCCTCAGGAAGGTGTACATATTCATTTTCTTCCAGAGGTTTAGTCCTACTAGATTCAGGAAGGAAGGTTGGCATTCTGCTATATTATTAAGGATCTGGAGCATTTGACAGCTGAATGCCAATCCAAATTTTAGGATTTGAACCTATCTGTAATATTATATGCCCACATAGTTTTTTTATAAGGATTGCCCATCATGTGGAATAGGAAAGCCATGATGTCATAAAGGTTTCTAAAGTAATAAAAAACACATATATTGGAAAGGGAAGCATTTTGGTAAAGCACATGGACTGGATTCTAACCTATGCTAGAGCTTCATTCAGTGCAAGAAAAGTGTTGAAGGCATTTGATAGGCAGCATCCCTGCTCCTGATTCATGTTACAGCCGCCCCAGTGCAGCTTAGAGTACCTTGTATATTGTTGAGGATTACCAAGATATTATCAAATACTGAAGCTTGAAGTGAGGGCAACTTTTTATCACTCTTATTGAAATCAATGATAGGCACTCAACTACTATATAGTTTCAATGCTTTACAGCCTGACTTTTTTTTTTAATTGCTTACTTTCGTTCAGGTATCTCCTTTAACCATCATACCACTAGTTAGCATTAGAGCAACACAATTATTTCAAAAGAGATCTGTGTTTGGATGAAAAGGCATCAGGTAATAACAACTATTAGGAATAAAATACCTAATCTAAAATTTACAACCTTTTCCATTTTTTCTGCTTTTAGCTTTTGCAGAGAAAGAAAATAACCGTATAAATCTCTACATACTGCAAGGCATGCATGTTCCCAGCTCTTCATCAAAGTATTCATTATTTGAGCAGTTGTAGCACCCTGTAGAAGGAGGAAGAGATGTTACTCATTCTTCGGGGAAGAGAGGTTTCAGATAAACTTCTTTTCGGTAAGCATTCTTCTCTTCTAACATAGCAATCCGCTTATTTAACTAGCAGTATCTCCAAATTCTTCATGGGATATTCTCTTGATCTGATAAGTTTCCTGTTCAAGCAGAAACATAACCAGGCAATCCTGTGCCCTAGGCCAGTGGCAGTGCATCGGGTAGCAGCAGTGGCCAAGTCAGCTGAAGGGCAGCTGCTATTTTTGCACCTTTCCCTTCCACTCCCACCTCCTAGTTGGTGCCCTGATTGCCCTCCCATTAGTCACTCTACTGTGTTCAAGAGAGGATGACATCGCTACAATCCTAAGCATACTACAGATAGTGAATCAGTCACTTATTGTGACAGCAGTAGTACCAAAGTGAAGATGGGCATACTAGAATAACACTAACCATTAGGGCTGTGCGAAATAGGACCCTTCTGCTTTGACTTCCGTTTCGACGGAACAATGTTTCATTTTGCATTTCATTTAATTTCGAAAGCGCTGTTTTGTTGTGTTGAAACTCTTTGGCCTTTTCGATGCTGTTTCACCGTTTCTCCCATAGATTATAATGGGGAATCATAAAATGTGGCAGGCAGGCAGATCGGGGGCTCAACCGCACCCCTGGGAGGGCTGCAGGGGCTGTGCCGGAGTTCTCTCTGGGGTGTGGGCCCTTGATTTGCCTGCCGGATGACAGGAGGCAGCCAGGTGCTGCTGCCTGGGGCCAGCAGCAGCACCGATCTTCCCAGTCCAAGGTGCGGGCTGCTCCCAGTGCTGGTCTGTCATCTGGCAGGCAGATTGGTGCCCTGCACCCCCAGGAGGAGTCCAGCACAGTTCCCGCAGCCGTCCCAGGGTGCGGGTGAGCCCTCCGATCTGCCTGCCAGATGAGAGGAGGTGGGTGCTGCCAGCTAGGACTGGCACTGAAGCCAGTAAGCCTGGTTTTGAAACTTAAAACATTTCAAAACTTTTGAAACGTTTCAAGTTCCCTTGTTTCATTTTGTAGCTGTTCTGAAGGCTTTTGTTTCATTTCGATTTTGCTGTTTTGAGCTTGAAACATATCAAAACAGCTTCGAAATGAAACGCTGGGCAAAATTTCGCACAGCCCTACTAACCATATCTTCAAAGATTACATCAGTAGAAACATCATTGTTTTTTCAGAGTATCAGTGATTAAAACCACAGTAAAAATAGCCATTATGTTAGCATTTTCAGCTTTATAAGCATAAAAGCTCATTACCTTCAACATTGACATACTTGTAATCTTGGTTTGGGCAGTTACAAGGCCGGTAGTGCCAGGTGCAGTTGCCTTCATCCATGTACGTATAGTAATAAGTGTTCTCATTGCTTATTGTTTTGTGAGTGTTGTAAAAGTCACAATAAACAGCTAAAAAAAGAGAAAGAAACAAGATAAAAGGTTGGGTTTTTTTCAACTGATGGAATGCAGTTAATTGAGAGCAGATTCAGAGCAGGCAGGAAGGAATTAGTTAAGAACAGAAGCTAGGAATATAAATCAGACGCACTGTTTTTACAAGGTGTAGAGAAACTTACGACAAAAATCTGGGGCTCTCCAGTCAACACAGACCCCTACATCTAAGCACGCCTTGGCATACGCAGCAATAGCATCACACATGCATTCACAATCCCCTCCAGTATCACACCCGCAGGAATCTCGGACACAGGCATCGTAATAAGGAATTCGGTATACCTTTGGTGAAGAAAGGAGAAATGAATGAGTCAACCATAATTCTCCTGTAGCTGTGCATTGGTTAATGGGATGTCTTTCATCGTTTTAACTTAACTAAACAACAGATGATAATTCAGGTTAAAGGGAAGAGTTCAGAATATAAATTGCTTTGCTTTACTAAGTAAGAATAAGGGTATGGATTCATGATACAGTTGCTATGGAGTAACTCATCCTGCAGTTTACTCTGTGGTTCATTTACTCTGTAGTAAAGGAGAAACAAGGGTCTTTTGGAGGTATCCTTTATAGGATCAACTATACAGTGGGGGAGATGTTAGATAAACATTTGGGCACAAAGTGCCTTTTTTCAGGGCTGGGAAAGAAGCAGACTTTTGGTGCCCAAAAGCTGGTCTAGCATCTCTCCCAAATATACAGTTGGTCCAATAAAAGATATCACCAAAGGACCCTTGCTTCTTGCATATTTCCTGGACCATCATAGGTGCAACAACATTCCAACCTTTGCATAGCAAGGAGCAGACACATGACTATCTTGCCCAAGGTAGCCGCCTGAACTACTTGGTTAGTAAGTGGAGAGGGAGCCAATTTGCATTGAGTAAAGGGCTGTGCTGGGATAAAACTGATCTGGGAAGCAAGTTACTCTACTAGTTAGTTCTACAGATTAATTTTCCCCTGAAGTAAAGTGACTACACATTTTTCAGTGGGTAAATTTATCCTGGATTTGAGGAATTTAACAGAGAAGGGCTAAACATTGCCTGCCTGGTCCAGTTTGACTATGCAGCAAATGTATTGTCTATCTGCCCCATAAGAATTACAGTATTTCCTTAATCATTAATTGGTTAAATAATCACAGCACTAATACTATGCACTTAAATAGTTATCTTTAGTAAATATTTAAGCATTGCAAAATGTTCATAGACAATAATAATATTTTAAAGGCCATCTGTCTTTAAAACCATGTGGGTACAAATCTTCCATGTGAAAAGGCAGCGAAGCACATTAGTTAATATAGAGGCATCTAAGTTCATCAGTTGCACACCCTTCATGGACATACATAAACACTACTTGTGTTTCTTACTTGAGCTCATTTCCTGATAATGAGAGTCTCTTTCACAAGACATGCCTCTGTTTAACTTTGCAGCACTTTCATTTCCTCAAAGGACGGTTGATGGCATTGTGTTTCTCAGCCGTTCTGCCCCCTGATGTGTTTTCTAAGTTGCATCTGCTTGGTTTACTGACAAAGCAAAATTTTATACTATGTGCCAGCACAGCAGAGCATGTATAGCTGTAGAAGGATAAATGGACA